AGTTCCAGGACAGCCTCCAAAGCCACAAAGAAACCCTGTTTTGAAAAACCAAGGGAAAAAAAAAAAAAAGAGAGAGAGTCAGTTCTCTCCTGCTCCTATGTGGGTTTCAGGGATTGAACTTGGGATGTCATGCTTAACAACAAGCACCTTTACCCGATGGCCCTCTCACTGCCCCCAAAACATTGAAAGTTAAAATTTAGACCAAGTACTAAAATATTTTTTAAAGCTGATTTCAAAAAAAAAATTACATAGTCTGTGTATGCAACTCTAGGATTTTTTAAGGGAAAAACTAACAAGCATGAAGTATATAAAATAGGGTTTGTAATTACGTACCTTTTAAAATGTTTTTCAGGCCAGTCCTGGCAATTTAAAGAGTTTCCTTTCAGCTGTGAGGATGGCTCACAGAGGCTGTGACATCAGCATACCACTTTCAACACTCACACCAGTGAAGACTTCAGAATTTGAAAAGTTTAAAACCAAAATGGTTATCACATCCAAAAAGGATTATCCTCTAAGCAGGAGCTTTCCATATTCTCTGGAACATCTTCAGACTTCTCATTGTAGGCTTGCCCGAGTTGACATGCGTATGCTCTGCTTAAAAAACCTTAGAAAGTTAGACCTGAGTCACAATTGTATAAAAAAGCTTCCAGCTACAATTGGAGACCTCACCCACCTTCAAGAACTTAACCTTAATGACAATCACCTGGAGTCATTTGCTGCGTCTTTTTGTCAGTCCACACTCCAGAAGACACTTCAGAGTTTGGATCTCAGCAAGAACAAAATCAAGGCACTCCCTGTGCAGTTTTGCCAACTCCGGGAACTTAGAAATTTAAACCTTAGTGATAATGAATTGATTCATCTTCCTTTCAAGATAGGACAACTAACAAACCTTCGTTTTCTATCAGCAGCTCGAAATAAAATTACAAATCTACCTTGTGAATTTAAAGTGCTATCCCTAGAGTACTTGGATCTTTTTGGAAATGCTTTTGAAAAACCAGGAGCCCTTCCGATTATAAAGCTTCAAGTACCATTAACTTTACTGGAGTCTTGTGCACAAACCATACTATCCAACAGGTAAGCCTTTTGTCATAAAGTATGGTCTTTGGTGGCATCCTAATACTGATGAAACTCAGTAATAGTCTTTTTGGGTTTTTTAACTTTTAGATTTTTGGAGGAGTGAGGGAATAGTGAGGGCATTCCACAGCATTTGGAAGTCAGAGAAACTTACTTGTGGGAGTAGGTTCTTGCCTTCCACCATGTTAGTTCCAGGGATTGAACTTGGGTCATCAGGCTTGGCAACAAGCACCTTCACCCACTGAGCCATCTCACCAGCCCCAACAGTCAAGTCTTTTTTTTTTTTTTTAATAGATTTATTTTTATTACATATAGTGTTCTATCTGCATGTATGCCTGCAGGCCAGAAGAGGGCACCAGATCCCATTATAAACAGTTGTGAGCCACTACCCTGTGGTTGCTGGGAATTGAACTCAGGACCTCTGGAAGGAAGAGCAGCCAGTTCTCTTACCTGCTGAGCCATCTCACCAGCCCCAAGTCTTAACTCCTAATGTTAAATAAGCCCAGTATGGTGTCCACACCTTTACTCTCAGCTCTCAGGAGGCAAAGGCAGGAGGATCTCTAGAGCCTGGTCTACAGAGTGAGTTCCAGGACAACCACGCTGTTATAATGAGAAACCCTGTCCTGAAAGGAAAAAAAAAAAAAAAAACCTCCTAACATTGTATACAGTCTGACCCCTTGCTACAATGGCCTTTATGTTCTTTACCTCTGCTTGGGGTCTCATAGCTCATTCTCTTACTTGGGTCTCTACATTCATGTCTTTCTAAAAAGATCTCACCTGCTCAGCCTGTTGTTTTATTCTCTATTTTATATGGCTTAGTTGTTGTTGTTGTTATAGTGTAGTAGTACTTTTTACTTGCCATTTTATGTTTTCTTTAACATTTATTTGCTATCAGTTTCCCCATAAGAATATAAGATTAGCAAGGGTATGTACTTTTTTTTTCCTCGCTGTTTCCTACTTGTATATTAAATGTTTTATCTTTAGGTTGCAGAGATGGCTCAGTGGTCAGAGAGCACTGACTGCTTTTGCAGAGGACTCAGGTTCAGTTCCCAGCACCCACATAGGAAAGCTCACAATCACCTGTAGCTTTAGTTCCAGAGGATCTGATCCGATGTACACTTGGTCATGAGCACGCATACACATGTCCACATATGCACATGCGGAAGCTAGTAAGTGAACGAGCCTAGTTAGCATCAACTGTCAACTTGACACGGTTTAGAATCAACCGAACAAACAGTTGAATAATTTTCTCTATCAGGTTGGTTTGTGGCCATGTGTATGAAGGATTGTCTTGGTTAGTAGTTGAAACTGGAGGACCCAGCCTAGTATGGGTAGCCCTGTCTCTGGCCAGGTGGTCCTAGGTTGTATAAGGAAGCTGGGTGAACATGAGCTTGAACTAGCTAGCTAGTGAGTGAGAATCCACGGGGCGTTTCTCCATGGATTCTGCTCCAGGCTCCTGCTTGGGTTCCTGCCTGACTTCCCCCACTGATTGACTGTGACCCGGAAGTATAACAGGAAATAAGCTTTTTCTTTCCCTGAATTGCTTTTTGATGGGATGTTTATCACAACAGTAGGATATAACTAGAACAGGACTATTGAGTGTCTTTAAAATAGAAAGATGACACAGCTTGACTCATGCTCATACGAGTATACCTGAAACATCAGCCTCAAGCATCATTCCTTAGTGGCCATCATCTTACTTTTTTAGAGATGGTCTTAGTTTTATCCAGATCTCACCAAGAAGAAGACTCGGCTAGCTGACTAGGGAACCCAGGAATCTGCCTGTGTCCACCTCCTCAGCCTTGAGATTACAAGTGTCCACTGCACCCAGATTATGTCTGTGGGTTCCGTGGCTCACACTCAGGTCCTCATGCTTATTTCACAATGACTTTACCTGCTGAGCTGTCACCCCAGCCCCTCCCCGAGCCCCCAAAAAAGATTAACTTGGTGGTTTTTAGAGACATTTTACTAAGGTCAGAGTGGCCTTAGTCAGCCCTCCTGCCTTTCCCTCTTAAGTGCTGGGGTTCATCTACACATAACCACACCTGGTTGCAGCAGCTACTGCTACTTTTCTTTTCTTTGAGACAGGGTTTCTGTGTTAGCCCTGGCTGTCCTGGAACTCACTATGTAGACCAGGCTGGCCTCCAGAGATCTTTTTTGGGTTTTTGGGTTTTTTTTTTTTTTTTTTTTTTTTTTTTTTTTTTTCTGCTGGAGATTGAACCTTAGGGTGCAGGTACCCTTCCACTGAGTTATACCCTCTTCCCAGCCCGGCCTTGAGTTTAGGATCTTTCTCCTCCAGCCTCCAGAGAAATTGAGATTACAGCCTGTCAACTGAGCCTTGCTTTTTAAGACAGGGTCTCTTGCATTCAGGTTGACCTCTGCATGTTTTCGTTAGAGATGTTTCCATGTGTAGGCCTGTCTGACCTGAGCTCCAGTCTGCCTCAGCCTCCAGAGTGCCTTCAGGATAATACCTAGGAAAATCTAGGGATGTTTTGTTGTTTTGCCATCTCTTTGTCCTATTCTTAACAGAAGGGAAATTAGGCCTGGTGTTGGTGGCATACGCCTTTAATCCCAGTCCTCGGGAGGCAGAGGCAGGCGGATCTCTGGGATCTCTGTGATGAGTTCGAGGATAGGCTCCAAAGCTACACAGAGAAACCCTGTCTCGAAAAACAAGCTGGGCGGTGGTGGCGCACGCCTTTAATCCCAGCACTCAGGAGGCAGAGGCAGGCGGATCTCTGTGAGTTCGAGACCAGCCTGGACTACAAGAGTTCCAGGACAGCCAAAGCCACAGAGAAACCCTGTCTCAAAAAAAAAAAAACCAAACCAAACAAAAACAAAAAAACAGATGGGAAAATAAAATGGGTATACTGAGTCCTGACATTATTTCATTATAATTCAATGTTCTAGTGAAATTCAGAATATAGTAACATTATCTGTTTTTCCCCATTAGGATTCCATATGGCCCTCATATCATTCCTTTCCATGTTTGTCGAGATTTGGATACTGCCAAAACCTGTGTTTGTGGAAGATTGTGTCTAGAGTCTTTCATTCAAGGAACTACAACAATTAATCTGCACTCCATTGCCCACACGGTGGTCTTAGTAGATAATGTGGATAGAATGGAAGCTCCTATTATCTCTTACTTTTGTTCTCTAACTTGTTATGTAAATTCCTCTGATATATTAAAATAATTAGTGGTATAAAAGAAAGTTCCTTAGATATAGATGGTTGAGTATTTGTGATTTAACAATAACAAAATGGAGAGGGAAGTTTTTTGTATGTTTGCACGGGGAAGAAAATGTATATTAGCATTTTCAACCATTTGACTCTGGAATTTAATTCAAGCTGAACTTATTGAGTGGATCAATAATCAGCAGTTAAGAGCACATACCCAGCTGGGCAGTGGTGATGCACCTGTAGTCCCAGCCCCAGCACTCCAGAACGTAGACAGGGAGATTTCTGTCAGTTCAAGGTCAGCCAGGTCTAAGAGTTCCAGGACAGCCTCCAAAGCTACAGAGAAACCCTGTCTCAAAAAACAAAACCATATACCCTCTTGCAGAGGACTATCGTTCTGTTCCCAGCATTCATATCATGGCTGTATGTAAAATACAACTGTATGTATTTTACAACTGTATGTACTTTAGTTCCAGGGAATTCAGTGTCCTCTTCTGACCTCTAGAAGTTTAGAGGATGGCAGGCTACTGGAAACAATCCTGCATAGTTTCAGCATGTTGCTGTATGGCTTGGGAAGAATTTCTCTCAACACGAGAGAGTCATGACCCCCTGGGGATCCAACAACCTTTTCACAGGGGTTGCATGTCACATACTTTATGGTTCACAGCAATAGTAAAATTGCAGTTATGAAGTAGCAATGAAATTTTATGGTTGAGTCGCTAAAAGGAGGAACTGTACTGAGTCAAAGCCTTTGGAAGGTTGAGAACCACTGCTCTGGATTTTTCCAAATAATTCATCTTAAAACTTTCTCATTTGAAGCCTTTTTCCTTTTCTGGATTCAAATATAATAATCATTAGAACACTTTATTAGAACTTTATTCAGGGAGGATATAGGGGGCAGGCATGGTGGCACACACTTTAAAGGACATAGAGGTGGGTATGACTTGAGTTTGAGGCCAGCCAGATTTATGCATTTCCAGGACAGCAGAGCTACAGAGGGTATGGCTCGGTAGTAGAGCACTTGCAAGGCCCTAGGTTTGATTCCTGGCATCACCACCAATTGATACATTGAGCCAGAGCATTTATTTTATTCAAATGGGTATCTTGCTTGCACGTGTGACTGTGCATGCATGTCTGGTGTCAGCAGAGGGTGTTGGATCCCCTGTAACTGTAGATACAATTGTGAGCCCATCTGTCTGTTTTACAAGCAGCCAGGGCTTAGCTACTGAGCCATCTCTTGAGCCGTAGTTGTATCCCCCACCCCCAGTAAAGTTCAGATTTTTATTCTTAGTGACTTCCACTAAGGTAATTTTTTGAATGAGTTGCCTAACACATACATCACTGTCCATGTTTGTCAGTCAACCAAGGTTAACAAATCTGAAAAATAATTAAAACATTATTTAATTAAAATAAGTATTAGTCTACAAGCCATTCTGAGAATGACACAATCTTCCCACCTGTTCTAGGAAATGAATTACATATCCACAATGTTTTGTGCCTGTTACTCAGCAGTCATTGGATTACCTCTGTAACTTCTTGTGGGGCAGTTGGTGGAATGCACACCCAACCTAGCATGCAGGAAGCCATGGGTTCAATCCAATGGAGCACCACCAACATGGGTATGGTGCAATTCTGTAATCCTAGTACCCTGAGGTAGAGACAGACCACCACTAAACACATTTGAAAAAGAAAAGCAAAAAACTCTAAATATGCAATTCCACTTAGAATCAAATGGCACAAGGCTTAGGTAATCAGGAACAATAACTTTATTTTCTAAAAGGTCATTTTTCTACTGCTTCCGAATTTTCCTCTTGGAAGACACAAGTTTTAGAACTGGATCACTTGGCCCTTTCTCTTCTTATCTCCTCCCAGTTCAAAATGCTTGCACCTCTTAATGGCCAGCATCCTCTTCGATCTGCAGTTGGGCTCCCCACACTCAAGCCTCAGCACAATCTTCTTTGTGGTTTTGGCCTTCTTTCGGAAAATTGGCTTTGTCTGCCCACCGTAACCACTCTGCTTCCGATCGTAGCGCCGCTTTCCTTGGGCATACAGGGAATCCTTGCCCTTCTTATACTGGGTCACTTTGTGAGGCTGATGCTTGCCACATTTCTTACAGAAAGTCCTTCGGGTTTTAGGTACGTTGACCATCTTTGCAGTGGAGGTGTCTACCCGATGAAAACTGTAATAAAGTTTCAGACACTGTTTTAAAATTGTCAAAGTTTTAAAGGCACAATTATTAGGAATATATAAAAAGCAGTAATCAAAAATGTGTAAACACGCGGGGCGGTGGTGGTGCATGCCTTTAGTGCCTCCGGCACTGGGTATCTGTGAGTTCAAGGCCAGCCTGGTCTACAGAGAGAGTACCAGGACAGACAGGGTCTAAAGCTACAGAGAAACCGTCTCGAAAGACCAAAAGAAAAAAAAGTAAAGTGTAAACCCACTAAGTACTCATTTTCCACACGAATAACGGCAGTGCAAGTGCACACCAGTTTGAGTGCATAATACTGGGCTGGACATGCTGCTCAGTGGTTGAGCACTTGCCTTAAGATGCTTAAGTGTGTTTAAGCATCCTAGGTTCAATCCCCACCACTGCAAGCCTATAGAAAAAACTGTAGCTCTTGAGACATAAAACTTAACAGTTACAAAAACAGACCTGACACCTCTCCTGTTCCGGGAGGCAGGAGATTGCTAGTTCGAGGTCGGCCTAAGCTCCATAAAGAAACTCTTGTCTCCAAATCAAAAAAAAGTCAAACCGACACCTGAGTAGCCAACTCATTTCTGTCCAAGCCAGACATCGTTAGCGCGGCATTCACCATGGCTCGTTGCAAGGAGGCAGATGGTAGCGGCGTCCGAGTGGAAGCCAGCTTCTTTCGGACTCCATTTTTCTAGCTCGTGGCCATGCGCGGCTGGCGCAGGACGGGAAGCAGTAGCTCCTGCTCCTGCCGGCTCCCCCGCTCTCCCACACCACCCCCCCCTTCAACCTCCACCCCCCCACACCACCCTCCCCCGAAGGCTGACGTGTCGTGGCCAGCCTGCGCGTGCTGCGCGGCCCAGTTAGACGCCATGCTGGAGCGCCTCTCCTGGGGGGAGGCGCAGGATGTCGGCCTCGGCCGTGCCGTGCAGCACCTGCCCCGCTTCCCGCTCCTCACAGAGCACGGCCACCCCGGCCCCCGGGCGGCCGCGATCCCCGAG